AACATCGACCAGACTACACAGCGCAACAACGCAGAAGACATAAATGTTCATACTCATCGCCCTGATGACGGAGGCAGTATGGCCTCCGAAACAATGGTATACATCGACCAGACTACACAGCGCAACAACCCAGAAGACAGAAATCTTCATCGCCCTGATGACGGAGGCAGTATGACCTCTGAAACGTTGGTAAACATCGACCAGACTACACAGCGCAACAACCCAGAAGACAGAAATCTTCATACTCTGATGACGGAGGCAGTATGACCTCTGAAACGTTGGTAAACATCAACCAGACTACATAGCGCAACAACCCAGAAGACGGAAATCTTCATCCTACCAATAATTATGAAGTTCTGGGTTTTGGCACCGAGTTATTTGACATAAACCCTTCATGCAGTTTAAATAAACACGGTCGTAATTTCCCTTTTCTGTTTCACGTTTCTTTCACATTACGCGAGTCTGGGTGTTCTAATGTGACAAAGGCTGTCTGTTACGTTCTGTGCACACATTAACTGACAGAATATTAATGAAAGTTTTGTTTTGTGTTCGAGTCTACTATGTAACCAGATTCCAGGCAATGTGCAGAAGTAAGAACATAATATTGACAACACAGATAATTGTAGTTCGTCGAAATTCGACTAATCCCTTCGTTAAGTTAAAAGATAAAAACGTGAAAATGCGACTCAGAATCACGTTTAGTATGGCGTGATTTGACTCAATGTACAAGGATTCGTGAAGATAATTTAACTTCTTGTTACGTGCGAGAAAATTAATTTATGTTACGTCAGAGAAAATGTGATTGTTCTTACTGGTGTGACTTTGCTTTGGAGTCATAGACTGTATGTCTATAATTATACATCGAGCCTGAAAAGAGAACTTTATGCGCCCGGTTAAATATCTTCATTACCCGAGACTACTTACATAAAGAGGAAATATCTCCATTTTCCTTACGTGAGACGTGTTAGTTATGTGTTATAAAGAGACAAAATAATAGTCCAGTAAATTAGTTTGTGAGCATGTGAATTAGATTAAAGTCGTTAAGTATGAGCCCGACCTCGGTTAGGTACTTTGTGATACGTCTATATCTTTTTGGAAGCACTTTTAATAAATTCGTACGTATGTGGTATTATTATTATTTAGTGTTCTGTCTTACGACAGGTCCATATGAACAGGATCCTTCCATCCTTTTCTCGGACTGGGACCTGTTCATATACGTTCTTGGCAGATGATCCAGAAGTGGTTTGCCATTGCCTGCTTCTGTGTGTGAATGGAGTAATTGTTGGGATGCCACGGAGGAAAACTCCGGGCTGCCTAGACCACGGCCTTGCCCACCACAAGTTATAAATTCGGGCACCGCCAGGAATCGAACGAAACGGGAATATTACAATAATTTATAGTGAAGCCTGCTGAATGACAGTGAAGTTTTACGCTTTTACATGTAGAACCTTCACTCCAACGAATTTTATGCAGTAATTAAATAAGTAGTGTTTCAGGTAAATGTGCAGCATTGAGAAATTTTCTAAATCAAAATTTACATTTCTTCCGTAAACAATATCGCAGTTAAAGAATTTACTGCATATTTCTCATTCCCGAAACTAACTTGGCACCTAACTAATTAAACATGTTAATGACATCCGATTAGATTAATGTGAACATGGCAGCAGAGTAATTTCTTGTGCTGACTGATAAAACCGAATCTGTGAAATATACGATAACAAAAAGTGGTTCGTGTAGACATGCCTTATCTTTATTAATTCGTGAAATTAACCGAGGGTTTCGTGTCGGAGTGGATTGTCCACAGGTGGATATCTCTTCGAGGCGTTCCCTGATAACTGTCAAGGTCTAAAATCTAATTGTCGGTAATGATGGTGGTTTGAACGATGTGTTGCGTCCGTGTAGGCACTGAAGGAAATTTGATCTACTGCCGCCTCTAGTCAATTAATTGTCTTTACACTGACATTTCCAGGAAGAACTTACGACCCAAGTTTCCCGTACGTTTTTCCAGGAAAATGAATACGAAGCAAAATTGGAAGAGTCCACAAAATAGTAGTGAAGTACAGATACTGCGGTCCATCCTGAGTGTCCCTAAATAAAAGTAAAAGTAAAGTTTGTCCCACTATACGCCATGTAGGCGCTTGGGGTGAGTGGAGGTATAGCTCCTCTCTTCCTTGACCTCGGCACTAGATGGGGGTGAGTGGTCAGCATCACGCCCCGGCCGGCTTTACCCCCGGGAAGGGACCCCGGTACCCACTGTAGAGGAGGCTGGGTGGACCCCAGAGCCGGTCTGGATGCAGAGGCCAGAGGAAAAATTCTCTGCCCCCGTCGGGGATCGAACCCCGGTCGTCCAGCCCGTAGCTAGTCACTATACTGACTGCGCTATCCCGAGTGTCCCTAAATACGTTACGAAATCTGTACTATTCGTAAGTTGTAAAATAAAACAGGACGTACTCGAGGCGAGAGCCAAGCCATCATGTTTCAGGGACACAATTTGTTTCATATGTTAACGCTGTCAGTCATCCTTAAGTTAGTGTTATATTGTACTCTGAGAAATACGTATGAGAGTGTGAAATCTTCCCTAAAGTTTTTTTTTTTTTTAAATTTTTCGGTATATGTTTACGAAATGTGGCTTCACTTTGAAGTCTTCGCTATCGACAATCTGGAGATTTGGAATTATGTATTAATGCGGTTATTCTGAAAATGATCAACACGCCCACACGTTAATTTTCTGCAGTTCTCCGACGTACAAATGGTAAAATTCCTCCACGACACAAACGTTTTTACACTCGCTTGTTTCACTCTTGCATCCACTTAACTGAACGATGGGCCAAAAAAAACTTGTTATTTGTGGTATATAAATTAATCGCCGGCTTCTCAACGCGGAGACCCTGGTTCACAAGATATCCTGAACGAAAAATAATACTGACAGTGACTTTGCTTTATATGTCAGTCTTAGACTAGACGCTTCCTAATGTACTTAAATAGCTTACAGCGCCGTGCTATTACGGCATCTTCTCTGACACCGCTGTGAGGCAGTGTGCAGCAGCGGCAGGCGTTACGTAGTGTTCGTTTTTCGCGTCGGTAGGAAACGATAGTGGAAGGCGGGTTGAGAGTTGAACTCTTAATAAATAAAATATCATTTTTAAATCAAACTACCTGGGAGAGAGGGGGAAACACTTCGCTAACAAAGTTCTACCGGTAGTGGAATTGTATGTGTAATCGAGTCCAACCACACGGCGTCAAAACCCGTAGACTAAGACTGACGTTATGACGTTCAATCAAATTTTAAATATCGCATCGTTTAATGAAAACTGCAACCAAAATGTGAATCCGTAAAATATTAGAAGTAAATATGACTAGTCTAACTCGAGAGAGATATAGATATTTAATATTTTAATATTTTCCGTCAAATCACAATTTTAATAAGATAATAAAATATAAAATATTTAAAATATCATTTCACGTTCCGCATCGAATGATCGTTTTACAAATTGGAACGTCTCTTACGACATGTTTCGGTTATATTTAACCGTCCTCAGGTATAAATTAGATTGGTAAAATTTAAAACTCGAATTACAATCATTTACAATGTTATGCAGTTTATTGAAATGTTCTTATCAGATTACTCTTATATATTAGAACGAAGGTATTGTTTTTTATATGGCGTGGTTCATCTGATGTTCAATATTAGTCTGTAAAGCAATGATTTAAATAAAACATTAATAAATATGGAGTAATATAGAAAACAAATGATGGAAGTAAATATGAAATGATATTTTAAATATTTTATATTTTATTATCTTATTAAAATTGTGATTTGACGGAAAATATTAAAATATTAACCTAATTCACAATATGACGCAAATATACTACCTTATAGATATTTAAATCAACACGCATTTCAGGATACTGAAGAAACTCTTATTAATTTCCTTGCTTCGGTGAGGGATAAATGAACGTTAATAAAAATGGGGTTAGGAGAAACACAGAGTACACGCGTAAATTACAGGCACTCCGATTAGAAGTTTCTACCGTTGATTTTCAACCGCAGTAAAAATAAATAACTCGCCGAAAGAGCGCGAATTGAGTGCTTAGGGCATCTATGCGTGCCTCTTACCTGGTTAAGTACACCTACAACAAAGTTTAATTCCTGTGGGTGTTCTCGACTTTATACCTTACAGCTTGTTCTCCCTGCTTCCTGCGTCCACATCCTCTCAAAACTGGAATAAAATTTGCAGTTAGGCGAGATTTTAGGTTCTCAAGGCGTCCATTATGAAGACGACTGTGTCATGGGTCGTTGCGGGGCGTAGTCCGGTAGAAGTTTACTCGTCACCCTGATGATGGAGGCAGCATGTGTCTCTGAAACATCGGGAAACTTCTTCAAGGCTACGCTACAGTCGTCATATTTTTTGTAATGAAGTAAGTGGGCGATTGTCTGATGGGCCTCGTCGAAATTTGTTTCAGGCTCGCATGTGGGAGCTGGTCCGAAAGAAGCGGCAGTATCAGCAGGTCCGCAGGCCGAAGGTGGCAGACTGCGGGATGGGCAAGTGCGGCGGATCGGAAATGCAGACTATGCTTTCGACCCCAGTAGTCACAATCCACAGCCTGAAGGAGCGCCTCAATCTGTCTCCCACTCCTCGTCGACAGAACCTACAACAGGCAACACCACTCACAGTAGCACCCAGCGGCGACTTGGACACGAATAAGATCAACGGCGAAGTATGTCTGCTCACAGACAGCCCCTATCGAATACTAAGGGTAAGTACCGGCAGATAATAATTTCCTTCCTCGTTCTTATTGAAGCTTTCTGTGGTTTTCTGACCCTCCAGGGATTTTCAAGGTTGAAGATTGAGCTGATGTATTCCTCCAAAAACGCTGGTAACCACCTCCAACATTACGCGGCTTCACAGCCCAGAATACTAAAATCTGTACGAATAAATTCGATTTGATAGTGAGAATTCAATATGAAAATGGCTATCTTGTGGGTTGTTTCGCCCTGATGATAGACGCAGCAAGCACCTACGAAACGTCAGTAAACTTCTACGAGTCTACACGTCGCAACGATACTTAAAGACTTCCATCTGGATTTTATGTCGCCTAATGCAGATTATAATCAGATGATCGGATATTTATTAAAAATGTTCGGTATATGACCCCTGAGATTAATAAATGACGAACACAATTTTGAAATGCCGTACAACGAAAGTTGTGTCATGGCAGCCATGATGTAAGATGAAGTGTCTTCGAAGAGAGAACGTCTACTGCGCATAAAATGATTAGCCCGTCTTCGAAATTCTGTCACGTCGTGGCTCTCTTGAGTACAGCATTTTAAGCCGGAAGCAGCTACTTTGAAAATTCCAGAAAAAATTGCTGGATTCCGTGAAAGAATTTGCAATTAGTTTAGCCAGACTTTGAGCTCTTATGTACAGTATTCCAGATCTATTACAGGAACGCGAATACATTTTATCATCAGAATCGAGTCAGATGAATTGTTTCTACAACTTTAAAGTAAGCTATTATGTTAAGATTGTTATAGACGCTGTTAGGTTAGAATTGCGGAGGGGATAGGCACATTACTTGTCGGATGTCTTAAGTTTACAGCATTACATCCTGCCAATAAAAGTGAGGGTGTAATCCATCTTACCCGTCTGGGACTATTTCTTCTGATTGAACTTAATTCCATTTGCCTTACAGACTTTCGGAAGATAAACAATATAACAAGGTAAAATGTGCCCAGAACGCTTCTGTAGGGACGTAAGATCGATGTATCGATACTGATATCGACTTACTAAAATTCCAAAGAGAACCACATCTGTATTTCTCGCGGCTCGGATCTCACGTTACGGACAGCGACAAGGATTCTTATGGCGTGTTGTTCCCTAAACACATAACCTGCGTGGTTTTTCCATTGCTCCAACCCGATTAGTAGTTCTTTATTTTCGTGATGTCCTAGGAAAAAACGTCACTAATGTTAGGTTACGTTTAGAATACGTCCTTGTAGTACATTCAAGTCGCGATTGAGGCTGGAACGCTGTCAGTAGCATATGCATACTGAATAATTAATTGGAAATACTATAGAAGAAATAGGCAGGGACCTAATTTGAGATGTTATTTCGACATTTTCCTGGAGATACTGAGGAATGTTGCAAAGAACATGGGTTAACGTAGACGCACTCAGGAACAAGATTCTAATCTGGCGCTTTTCGGATATCAAGAAAGTGCCAACTCGATCCCCATAACTTTCAGAGATTGTAAGAAATTTGTTACGCTGAAAATCACAATACTTTATAATGGAACTACGTATCTACCGTTGCAGTACCAACAGTAGCATTAATGATGACAACAATTGTGTGATCCTGTAGGAATTTCGTATTGAGCCACCGACCGGAAGTACTGTACCAACTCGCGAAGGCGATTGTGGTGATAAACAATCATTGCATTGGAATCATTGAGAGCGGAAGACTAGATGCTCCGAGCTCACCCTAATTAGAAGAAAGTTTGCCCTTTCCTGTAGTTGCGTGTTTATGAACTGAACTAAAAAAACATTTACCACCTACCTGTAGTTTGTAATCGACTGTTGTGCAATTCGACGATACCATATAATTCCCCATCATCGTCAGAATTCACCAGCCACAATATTTGGTACATGGAGAACCGATTGCTATTTGGTTTTTGCCGTTCACGTGGCAATTAGCAGAGCTAGGTTTTGTGACGGTTCTGATGGTTTAAGTTTTAATGAGCCAAATACACTTCAAGAGGAACCACAGTAGTCACAGAGCTTTGTCGTCTGTATCGTATCGTTATGACACAACATGCAAACGAAACGTTTACATGTATTCAAGTATTTGTGCACGAATAAGGACGAAGGGATTTGCAAGGCTCGTGATTCGCTGCCCTCTGGGAGAGGCACTGACCCCTTACAAACCAGAGTGCACGCAGTGATCCCGCCGGAAATGCAGTACATCTACGATGTAAACATTCTAACAAGGCAGAAGATGCCCCAGTGTTACCTGCATTTATGTAACTACGTAGCAAACATCTGATAGTCGCTTAAATTTTTAATAATTTTCCACAACTTATGGACCGCGGAGGGTCATTATCTTATTCACAAGAGACCACCACTGACCCCTGTTCTGAAGCTGATGAATAATTTTCGCACCGTCATATACCACTTTCTTCGATCCATTTTAATATTATCCTTTCATTTACACTTCGGTCTCCCAAGTGTTCACTTCCCTCCAGTTTACAGACGAAAGATAGTAGGCTTATAAATTTATTATCCTGCCTGCTATACGCCCTGCCCATCTGCTTCTTAGTTTGATAGCCGCGAAGATTTTTGGTTGATGTAAGAAAGGAATAGAAACAAACTCCCATCACTTTTTGGAGAAATGAACTTGTGAGAGAATGAACGAAAGAAATTTGAGCCTGGTGGTTTGTGGTATGTTAAAAAAATTAACTTCGAAGGTGGTCCACTTTGTTGATAACGATCGTTTCCTTAATTTTTAAATATGAACTGCAGTAAATTTCCCTGGAGAAAATTCTTATTCGGTTTCATGTAGACTAACATGTCGGGCAAGTGACCAAAAGCGGGTGATGAACTGTCACGCAATTCTCCTCGCGACTAGAAATTTCGACGTTTACAAAAGGCGCTCCGTTCAATATAATTAACCGCGTGCGTTTTGCGGATTGGCGTCTCCCAACGGTCTTGCCACGTGCTTCACGAGATCAGTGGCGGTAGCGTCTCTTAGGCGTTCCTTGCGAATGTGAACTGAGGGTCTTATGACTAGGGAGGCACAGCTTCGGCATGTCGATATATCTTTTGCAAAATAAATGTTATAAAATATCAAAACGAAATACAGATAAATATCTATATTAATTTGCATATAAAATACAGACAATAAGGTAAAAATTCACAATGAATGACGATGAGTTTATTATTAAGCTGACACAATAAGAAATTGTTAAAATTTGCTACTGAATCTCTGAATCTAAGGTATGTAATTACTACTTAAAATGTACTTAACATTATTGTTATCAGTTAATAATAGAATATCGATTGAAATTCTGGCTATGCGCATTACCCTACTAACCAATCCGGATTTATGGTTCCGGGGGCCCCGGGGGAAATCAAAATATGGAAGCCCCTTTCAGTAACAACATATTTAGGATATATTGCAGTTACAAATAAACAATTATTAAGTTTAATAAGTATCACGTGATCGATTTCCGTAGACGATTACCAGGACGCATTTCGCCGTAAAAATATGGAGGCCCTGGGACGAGGAAACCCCCCCCCCCCCCGTCAGCCTTAATGACAAGTATTCCGAGAACGTTTTCTTTAAATGTCAACGCCTTCCGTAAACCCCAGTAAAAGAAACAACTTCGTGTTTTACTCTTTAAAAATTGGCTACAAAGAAATAAGAATTCTAGCAGATAATTACAGTTTTTGTAAATGAATTCGCGAATGTTCGACGCCCACTAAGTTAAGTAAAATGGTTCGAAGTAAGTGGTTCGTCATTGAAATAATTTAATATGGCAGCGCAATGCGCAGACGCTGTGTCATCAATGCACGCAAATGTTCTGGGACCTCAGCATCGCAGTTCCGTGTCCCCTGGGCCAGTCTAACTCTGATTTCACATGCCCCATGGTCCTTTTTCCTTGATTCCATTATAGAGTCGTTGCTCCTATAGCACGCCCAATCGTAAGCCGTGTCCCGTGGGAGACGTCGTGGCTTGGGATAAGGCTGCACACAAGACGAAAACAACAACTATCCCAGAAGCCTTAATGGGAATTTCCATAACAATTATTGAAAACCGTATATGACGCTCGGTTAAGATATTTTGGGTGAAAGTAACAACGAAACAAGTCCAACTTAAAACAGAAAGGATTTTGAAACTTGTAACGCGTGTTTACGAGAAAATTGCCTTGAATACCACGAAAAATGAGGTGGCCCTTGCTTTGATCCTCATTAATAATATTTAAATTGTAACATGGAAGATGGGATGGGCGCGGTCATGTGTCATATATAAAAAAAATGAGAACTTCATACACGATTTTAGGCGGAAAACCTTAACGTAGACCTAGGAATTTATGGGAGGATTAATAGTGTAGTGGATGTTTAAGAAATATGATACGATAGTGTGGAGTGGACTCATCTGGCTAAGGACATGTGAACGCAGTAGTGAACTTTAGGGTTCTATAAAATTTAAGGAATTTCTTGAGTAAGTTAGCGACTATTAGCTTCTCAAGAAGGTATCTGCGCCATGGAGTTACGTAAAGTAGATCTTAATTCTTCTGTAAAATATGTAATAAATTATGTGCTATGTTTCATTTGATTCCCGCTAACATAAACAATATTTTGAAACACAACTTTTCTGTAAATGAAAACATGGTTTACTCCAGTTCAGCGTTAATGTCGTAAGACTTATGTTGTAGGCCAGTACCAAGTTTTGTCCTTCGCTGGTCCGACGCCTTTTTGAGTCCTGAAGTCGTGTCTTGGGAGATAAAATAATACCAACAACATTCATTCGTCTTTTGATTGATACGACAAATGCGCAACTTGCTCTGTTCTTCCAGTAAATTCATCGCCCTGACTTTGCTTTGTGTTCAATAATTATAATGAACCCATATTCGCTATGGGACATTCCTAATTTTGCGATACACACAAATTAAATCACGAATCACTATCAAGGTCAGCTGCTCTGTCACGTGGACCACACACACACACCCCTACGTCGTATATTTCGGTGTACCGACGA